TGAAGTGAATAGGAGCTTTAATGCTGACAAGAATAAAAGCTATATAAATTAAATGCCTGGAAATATTAAATGTACAGTATCTGCTTTAATTTGGCTGCAACTTTATTAACTCATCAGGGAACTATCTAGCAATAAATCATAATACTGTGTTCCACTATTCCTTCTTCAATCCACTCTAGGTATTTGGCAGCTGCAGCATGCATCGCCACTAATTCAGGCCTGGCTCAGCTACTATTTTTAAAATCACTCTCTCTGTGGTGCTAGAAAAAGGAGCTGGAGCTTTACAGTTCCCTGTACTAAATTCAAGCGCTCACTTTCAGGACTTTTTTTAGGATGAACTTTTTTAGTAAGTTCCCTTCCAACTCTAACTCACCAGAGAAATGGTCCCTCCATGGAAACGGTCTGTGCAGTGAACAATGGATCTGGAGTGAAAAACTGTTCTATTATTATCCCAGCTGACTGAAAATCAACTGCAAATGCAAGAGGCTCCTGTCCTTCCCCAAATGAGGGAGAACTGTCTTATGCCTATTCTAAAAAAAATAAATTATAGGTCAAACCTTTAAAATGGATGACTTTTTTTTTTTTTTGTCAGGGTCAGGCAAAATCCAGTTTTGTAGAGAATTAATTCTGGCCTTTTTCATTAGACAATACTTAATTATTGTACTGTGATAATGAAAATACTAAAATCTACATATTAATCTTGAGGCAAAAAACTCCACACTAGTATGTTAAAGAAAAATATAATTCTGAGTATATTTTTTTTTAACCTTAAATCATATACATTAAAGAAAAGGTGCAACATACCTCGTCCATCCACAGTAATACCTATTCCACTGCTACACAGGCCATGGAATTCAGCTACTCAATAGAAGCAAGAGATGTTGGGGAAAAAAGAAAACGTTATTTCTGGTGTTTCATCTTCTTTAATCCTAAACCAAATCCACCTGATCTTTTTTCAAAATATTTTTTCTACGATGTAACTAATAAAATGCCAATGTTCACATGAAATAACTATTTATAGATAATATAGCTAAATATGTCAAGTAGCATTCCACCCTGAACTTCCACATACAAAAATGAAATTTGATAACAAGAACTAAACACTAGTGATTTCATTATAGTCTTGACAGTACTGTATCCTTAAGTTAGCACTTTCAACCATAACACCAGTTTTACTTCATTTCTTCTAAACAGTCTTCTGCTGTTTCAGAAAATGACACTGAATGGAAATACTGTCAAAGATACATCATCTCAGTTCTATATTCAAGAGATTTTTTTTAATCAGTCCCCAGGTTTATTTGGAGAACTAACTCTTATGAAATACAGATTTCTAAAATTAATCTGGGCTGCTCTTTTAAACTGGACTGACTTGACTAGGAAATTTACAGATTCATCACAGAACTCTGCTTGTTTTCTTTGAAGTATTATTACTAATAGCCAACACTTAATTCAGGGACCCAACTTCATCCATAGCATACTCATGTCCTTCGTCTTGAATTCTGTCACAGCCTGGCCAGCTCTGGAACTAGGTTCACCTCAAACATTACAATACATAAAACCCCAAATACTCAACATAAAATACAAGAGAGTTTTTCTTTAAAGGAGAAACCATTTCCAGAATCAGTGTACAATTCTGTTAAGTACCCTATTCATTTCTCTTTAAGGCATGAAATTAATGAACAACCTGATCTGAACAAGATTTTTTTAAGTCTGTATGTTGACTGTAGTATTCAAAGAAACACAAAATTTTACCTGAGTTTTTAGCAGGGCAGGGGTGACATGGCTCTCCAAAACCATAGTCAGGATTGGCACAGCAACATTCAGACTTTGTCACAGCACCAGGGAAGGGGCGGACACACACTCCTTTTTTGATGCCTCCATAGCATGTGCTACGCATATGAGTATCTAAGAAAGGGCAAGCAAAGAAATAATTTATTTCCTCAGACTGAGAGTGAAAGGTATGCATACTATCTCAACAAGAGCTAAAAAAAAAATTTTGTTAAACAAAATGGTTACATTGGCTACATCTGCATTGATCTGCTGCAATAATCCTGATGGCATCAAGGCCAATTCTCAAAATGTTTAGCTCATGGAGGTCTCTCCAGAGCACTTTAAAACCACCTAAACTATGATATTGTGGGCAAATTTAAAAACATTCCATAGGACCCAGCAAAGATGACCCACACACCAGTGCAGCTTTGTAAATCTGTCAGCATATATCTCAGTAAGAAACACAGAATGTCTTGAATCAGCATGTGGTGACTAATTTTTCCCTTTAGAAGTACTACAACCATAACCTGGACACGCAGATCTCTTATTTGCTTCCAAAATGGTTCCTCATGTAGGATAACTCACCAGCAGCTCAGGGCTGGTAATATGGGAAGCTACCTATTTCCAAAAGGAAGAGCACAGCCTCCTACTGTATTTACAAATTCTGAACAGAAATGCAATTTCAGCAGATTGTTCAGACCAGCATTTACATGACATGGCTATCTTAATAGGTTTATATGTAAACTGGCATCAGTGCTGGATTAGGGTCAGGATATCAAAGCGGTCCCAATACCTAGCTAGCAACAGCAATTTAGCAATTCTTACACACAACTAGGTAGTGGGGAAAACAGCACTACTGCCTTAAGAAATCTCTGGAGGTTTGTGACTGAAAAGCTGCTATGGAAATTACAGTGCCATCCCTGGGGTGAGGGCTGGAAATGATCGTCAGGACAAACCACCACTTATTACACAAAGAAAACAGATAATACCTGTAG